CTTTAATTTAAAAATAATGATTTTTTTTCCATCCACGTCATCTCTTCTTACTCTTTTACTTTCTCTCTCCTTTACCTTTCCTTTCCTTTACTTCTGCAAACCCAGATCTGGGTCTTCCTCTCTCAAACCCAGATCTGGGACCCAGATCTGCGTACTATAATGAGAGGGAGCCAAAAAAATGAAACAAAATAAAAAAATAAAATCATGATGTGGCTTGGAAGGAACCGACCCGCCCGATTAGAAGGACTAGATGGAACCGACGATGCTGTTGTCACCGGCTGTATTTCCAGGGTTTCCGTGTGAGGTTGGAGCCAAGAAATTTGGACTACACAGCAGTGGGAGCGCTATGTTATCTTGACGCTTTTCAGACCCGATCACCTGCCTTGGAGCTTCGGGTCGATGCTCAAGGCTCCGATTGACGCTTCCATGGCGACGATTGTTGTTTGGAGGACGGATCAAGTCACTGTTTTAGTTTCCCCAAGATCTTGAACTCTCCTGATCTGTAAATCTTTCACCTGCCTTCGGTAACAATTTTGAGAAAAACCCAGATTTGGGTTTCATCACAGATGTTCCCAATGTTGCTTTGCCTTTGCTTTATTGTCAGTTTCTTTATCATCCATTGGGTTCTTGATTCCTTTTGGCAGGCTGTAGGATTAGGCTTTCGATAACCAATTCCAGTTGTTTGATACAACAAACTCAGACGGAACATCGATGGTGTCGTCGAAAAGTTATATGCTCGATTCACTTCTTTGCTGGAGTTTTCTCAAACTTCTGGTGATCTTTCCTCATCAACTCTCGCCATTTTCCTTTCCTCATCAACAAATTCCTACAGTACGCCATTGCCTACTTCTATTTGGGTTTGAGAAATTGAATAGTCTGCTTGATTCACTTCTTTGCTTGAGTCCATGTGATGCAGTGCTCAAAACTGTTATTTTGTGGTTCTGTTGTTTGGAATTTGCTGTGGCAGAGATGCTCTTTCTAAGGTATTTGGTTTGGATTTTTGTAGATCTACAAATATAAGGTTTGGTTTGGATTTAAACCATAAACTACAAATAATGTGATGCAGTGCTCAAAACACATTTTTTTGCAGATCTGGGTTTGAGAAAGGATAAAAAAAAACCTTTCTCTTGCCACAACAGTGCTGGCGAACCTAGCGGTGATTGTGAATGGGGATGATGAGAAGATTCTGGTGAAGACGGTGAAAGGGAAGGTGTGTACGTAGGGGTGGGAGTGTTCCTGGTGGTTGCAGTACTGTTGCAATAAGACCTTATCGGATTTGTTCCAAGTTTACAATTTCAAGGAGCTTTTTTTCCAAGAGGAATTCGCCGGTGGCGCATGCAGTGGGGTTTTGAGACTACCAGTCTTTTATTCTCGCCGCAGCTATCTACGAGCCGCTTGGTTTTGGGACCACTGGAGGGAAGGTTATGCAAATGAAGAAGATTGCCTCTTTTCTCGCTCATGTCGACGCCAAAACTTCTTGTGAATATTGTGTATTTTTGTTTTGAATTTGATCCATTGTGAAGTTCAGTGCGCATTTAGCTAGATCTGGCAACTCTTAGGTATAGAAATTTTGTTTGGCTGCTAGGAAAGTGGTAGGAACTGAGAAAAATTATTATTTGATTCTGGGATTTTTTTGGGCCACAATTTTTATTTCCTAAATAGCTCTCTTAAGAACAATCATTTTAGATTTGGTAAGTGGGATGATCTTGCAAATATTAATGGTCTGTCTAATCTATTGTTTCCATTGTATCTGGTAAGAATGGATTATGGATTTGATACCTTCAATTGCTTGTTCAATTCTAAAACCCAGATCTGGGTTTAAGAGAGGAAGAAGAAGGGAGAAGAGAGAGAGAGAGAAAGAAGAAGAAGAAAGAAGAAGGACGAGCAGAGAAAGATAGGAGGAAAGGAGGAAGAAGATGAAGTTTGAGAGAGAACCCAGATCTGGGTTTACAGAGGTAAGGGAAAAGGAAAGGTAAAGGAGAGAGAAAGTGAAAGAGGAAGAAGAAGAAGAGATGACGTGTTTTTCTAAATTAAATAAAAATGCCACCTCCTAAGAAAAGATAGCCAACTGTGTTTTTTTTTCCATGTCATTAATCAAGCAAAAAAAGAATTGATTTTGTTGCATTTTAACGTGCCACCTGTCATTTAACTTACGGAAGGATTATTTTGGTACCGAAAATGAAAGTTTAAGGATAATTTTGGTACTTTTTAAAGATAAGGGATAATTTTGGTACCAAAGTAAAAAGTTGAGGGACCAAAATGGTACTTAAACCAATTTTTTCCTTAGAAATTAATGTGTATTAATTTTTACTATTGTTGTCAAAATCTAGATTTAAATCTCAAAATCTAGATTTAAATTTTAAAATCTTATGATTTTACGATTTCAGCAAAACATTTCCTGTAAAATCTATACTAAAATCTGAAATTTATAAAATCTAGATTTTACCGTGAAATCAAATAAAATCTCGATTTTACCGTGAAATCATGTAAAATCTCGATTTTACCTTTTGTTTGACAGTTGGACTTTAGCCTATTTTCTTTCGGCCTTCTCATTTTGAGTTAGTAAGTTTTGACTAGATAACCCATAAATTAAGCTCATTTTTCATTTTAAAAGCCCACAACCCATACAACCCAACCACAAATCAACATTTTAATCGAGAATTCGGGACAAATTTGATTTAACTATCTAAAATTCTAAATTTAAGTCATCTTCTTCGTTTAATTTATTTGTGTTGTT